CATCTCAATCATTTCCAACATTCAATAAAAACTAAATCTGCAAATGGCAGAAACTTGCGAATCTGTGTGCAGTGGATTTGGAAAGCCAACATTAACTTTGATTTGCTGCGTTGCTCAAGGAATCACCAAAGTAATTTAATCATCAAAAAGGTTGGAATGAAACAACATGTCAGCCCAAAGAAATAAGGGTGCTGCCATCGAATGTGACAATATGATATGGTTGCCACACCGGGGTTAACACGCACCTTTCCTTTCAAGACCATAGGGATGCTTCATTCACCTAAAATGGGATAACATTGAGATAACAAATGATCAAGATCAAAGCGGAGATCGAAGAAAATGGTATCAAATCAAAGCCCATAGGCCAACAGGTAGTGTCCGGTTTTCAGACCACAGTGGCACTAACAAAGGCAAAAAGTCTGTGAGCCCCAAGGGTTCAATCCTGAGCTGGACCAACGAAAAGGCTGATGTGCTCGTTCTTCACACGTGGTTTCCCAACTAGCTTTCAGTGCGGTATATCTCCACAACTTAACATAGTTCACCAACCTTGAACCGTTGGACATTTCGTCGCTGTGAAGTCGTTGTGACTTATCCAGTATTTAATCAATTACATTGATACCCATTGATAGTTTTTGTCCCATTATCCATTTATAAATGTCCCCATTTAAATGCTCCATGTATTGAATATTCGTACATTTGCTCCCAAAATCGCGTGATGTAGGTAAACATACCCTCTGGTAAACGTTTACATAGCTATTGAAAATGACCATAGAAAGTTCGTTGATTTACCCATAAAACATGGTGGATCTTTCCATTACCAGAGGGTACCGTACATGGAGCATATCCGTTATCTCCCCATGTGGGACTCAGCAGGTTTCACCCCGCCTCGGAGCAAGGCCTCCACGCAACTCAAAGTGCCACGCGACGGTGATGACCTCGTCGAAGATCATGAAAAATCCAACCGGAAAACTTTGGGAAATTGATGGGTCAACAAATCAATGGGAATTTCAGGATCCTAAAATGGAGGTACTGTACCATATTCCAGGCCATATTTTCTGGGGATATTCCCTTACATAGACATAGGCCTTATATATGGTAGGTACCTCCAATTTAGGATCCTGAAATGGCCAGTGAACAAAACAACAACCTGGAAATTCATTATCTACAGAAAACATTTCGGGAAATTGGAATGGAAATTGATCAGACAACTTTTGGAATTTGGATTGGAAAATAGTCCACTTAGTCCAGTTAGCAGCTAGATGGAAATTGGAATGGAATGTGAGGGACTATGCTAACTATGAAAAGTCAACCTGGAAATTGATGGATCGAAAAAAACCTGGAAATTCATGGAGGAAAAAACATGGGAAATTCATAACAATAGTTTTTTAACATTGAAAAACAGAAACCAATGAATTGTTGGAATCAAATTCGGGGAGTACAGGAAACCGTGTTTATCAACCCCCAAAAATTGAGGGGTTCATTTTGTCCCTTGAACCAGTTCTACGAGGTGGTGTCTCAGTTAGCTAAGTTATTCTACCACTTTAAAAAAATAAGTTTTATGGATAATGTGGGTAAAACAATGCCATAAACCACCCATGTGGGAATGGTTTATAGCACCTATAGTGATTTGGGGGATGGTTTATAGATGTTTATGGCATTGTTTTACCCACATTCGATATATCAATAGATAATGAGGCTGATCGACTAACAAACATAACATATCAAGCAGGGGGGAACCACCTTCTAGTGTATATTGGTAGACTTCATGGAGTAATTTGGTCAGCAGTCCAGGTAATGTATCGATAGAAACTCAGGGGAATCCTTTCAGTACTGCACTTTATGATACTTTATGTATATATCAATGTTATATATCCAATTATATATCCAACAAATTAAATTTCCAATAAATATCCAATGATATATTCATTACTTTCCAATGATATATGATATTTCCAATGATATATGATATATCCATGAAATGGTGGACATAGACTTAAACTCTTCTTGGATGTTTACACTTGAGCTAGTTAAAAGTTGGAGACGGTGGACCGGTACATCCTGTTTAAACATCACAAATGTAGGCAACAAATGGCACATGGTAAATACTCAGTGTGTATATATATATAACAATAGATAAACAAATATTAGATAAATAAATATATACATATATGATAAATAAATGAATGAATGAATGAATGAATGAATGAACGAATGAACATATACATATATATATATATACATATCATATATTATCATATATACAGTATGGTCATCCCACCATCATTAGGGATTGCTTGTAATTGGCATAGTATGGTCGATAAAAAACACTGATGGCTTTGATCCTCCCATTCCCATGCTGAGGATAATCAGCATCTAACTTTGCACCATGGCTGCGCATGGGAAAACATGCTACCCAACAATTGCAGCACACCTTGGAATCCTTACCTTCAAATTTGGGTTGCAACCAGTCCAAGGGGGTGGTTGGCAGCTGACAAATATAGCAACCCACCGGATGTGGTTATCTTGGCAAAACGCACAAGTGGCGGTGAACATGTCCATGTTGCCTACTGAGATCCCGTGGCCGGTTCAATCCCCAGGCTTTGCTGCTGAAATCCCTATGCTTGCTACGTTTAATGTCCCCATATTTGCTGCTAAAATCAGGTCGCAAAGAGGTGGTTGTAATCCCACTTGTACTCCTAGCTTAGCTACCAACCAGGTTTGCAAATTTCAAGGCTCATTCACGAATTTTGCGTGGGTATATACTAGGGTCATGGTACAGCAGAACTGTATTTCAGCTCCGACCATTTCACTCCTTGCACTAAGTTGGACAAAATGAAGATACCTTTGGAAGTATCTATCTAGCACGAACATGCATATGAGTCTGTGTGTAACTGTATGTATATATATATACCGTATGTATATATGGATATTTTATGGAAGTATATTTTAGGGATCCGCTCTAACACGTTTTCTTTACGTATATTTGGACATTATATGTACGTATATTTGGACATTATATGTACGTATATTTGGACATTATATGTACGTATATTTGGACATTATATGTACGTATATTTGGACGTTATTTGGACGTTATTTGGACGTTATTTGGACGATGTTTTGGACATTATTTGGACGTTATTTGGACGTTATTTTGGACGATATTTGGATACTTTTTGGACGTTGTTTGGACACTATTTGAACCGTTTTTAGAAAGGCATAAAATGGCAAGACTGCATTCATAAAAAAAACATATAGACATAGACTGACATAGACATAAAATATAAAATAATGAAATTTATTATATTATATTTTATTATATTATATTATATTATATTATATGAAATTATATTATATTATATTATATTATATGAAATTATATGTATTATATTATATTTATATTATATTATATTATATTATGTTATATTATTTGATTATATATTATTATATTATTTAATATAAATATATAATTATATTATATGATTGTAAAAACATTAAATGATATAATTTAATATAATTATTAATATATATTATTTTATATTATATGATATTTATATAATATAAATTGATACTTTATGCTCTAATACACATATAAAGACAAAATAATGCGATAGTTACATATTATAATTTATAATTTAATATATATTATTTATTACAAGTTCATATTATTAATTATTATTATTAATTATTATTGACTATTGAAGACTGTAGACAGTAGACTTGACTTTAGATATTGACATCGATATAGACGATAACTATGACTATGACTCTCAGGTATACTACAGTAATAGTCAGTATTATACAGTACAGTATCTATGCTATGCTTTGCCGCCTAGACCTAGACAGTAAAAGAAACTTATATCTTATATCTTATATTGGGTATGGTACGGTATGTATGTCATGTGGTCTTTGGTGTCCGGGGGAAAGCGATGTCTCTTCTTGGAAAACCCAGTGTCTTCTTGAAAAGCCAGCTTGCGCATCTTCTGCGTTCTTTTTTCAAGATCTCTTTGCACGTGCACCATTGAGCAAGTTGTGGTGCTGGTGCCGGTCTTTGTCGTTCCTTTGGATTTGCATTGGGTTTTCAATGCTAAGCTGAGCTGCGGTGACATGCCAGACCAAATCCCACATATGGCCATGGCCAAATACCAGCAGCAAGGCAGTTTCAAATACTGCTACTTCTAAAGTACCGCCATGTATTATGGTGGCAGTAGATTCAAAGTGTGATGATTGTTTCATCACTTTCCAACCTGCAACTGCTGTGCAGTTTTCATCAAACTGGGTTCACATCCCATTCCCTGGCTCTTCAATAGATGGACGCAACGGCTGGCAAGACCAAGACGTGTTTCTCCAGGAGTGAGTTCCCTCGTCAACACCTGTGCCAACGTCATAGAGCCTTGAAACCAGCTGAAATTGGCAAGCCGGAACTTGTTGTCGGCTGGCATGGATTTCTCACGCTGGTTGTTGCTGAACTCGAATAGGTCAGCACCGACAGCCTCCACCATCGAAGTCAAAGATGATGTCAAGACCTCGGGCTTCGGCAAACCCCGAAGCTTCTCTAGGAATTCTTTCACTTGGTTGCAAATTTTGCTGCACCTTGTTCCGATGAAGATCATCTGCTGCACGTTGGCGTCGCACACCAAAGCTGCAATCAACGAACGCTCCAGCTTGACAAACAAGTCGGGCAAAGAATGCACTGCCTTGACTTTGGCAAACATAGACTCCAGCAGCGATGCTGCAGAAGATAGCTCAGAGTTGCATCGCTCCAAGCCCAACGCCAATGAGGATCCAAAAACACCCATGACATGGTTGAAGAAGGCTTGCTCCTGTTCCATAGAGCTACCTCCTGTCATCTTGTCCTTGATCTGTTGGAAGGATGTCACAGCTTTGGAGACCATCCCAAAAAAAGGACTGAGCTGAGGCACAATCCCATCCAAGCTGTAGACGACACTTGGCTTTTCTTTGGCCTTCACCTGACCAAACTCCACAAAGACAATTTCCGCAAAAGGTTTCTGTCCTTCATCTGGCCGAAGCTTCTGATCAAACAGGGTCACGTACTTGGCCAACTGAAGCAAAGAACCAGCCAGACACAAGAACCCCATGTGAACTTCCACCTCAACCTTTTGCTGGTCACCCGTCTCAGTCTCCTTTGGGGGAAGTTCGATCTTCACTTTGACCTCCTGTGAGTAGTTGACATAGGCCGCAAAGATGTTGGTAAAGCCGATCTCGCTTTTTCCATCCTGCAGAGATTGGCCAGCAGGAATGTATATATATATAAGTTGAAAACACATCATCATATCAGTATCATATCATCATCTCATCTCATATCATATCATATCATGAACCATACATATTACATATCATCGATCAATATCATCATAGTATCATATTATCAAATCTTATCACCAAATCATATCATATCATCGTAGTATCATATCATAGCATCATAATACCATATCATCAAAATCATATCATTTCATAAAATCATAGTATCATATCATATCATATCATCATAATATCATCATATCATATCATACCATATCATATCACATAACATCATATCATATCATATAATCATATCATATCATAATCATATCATATCATCGTATTAATTATCATATCAGATCATATCATATCAAATCAGAATCATATCGTATAAACATATCATATAAATTTATATATGTTATTATATATTGCATAATTTATATTTATATTTGTATGTATAGTATGCTATTTGATATTAAATTATACCATCTTATGATATTACATTTGATATAATATTAATAATATAATAATATATATAATTTATAATATTATATTATATTATGTTACATTATATTTTATATTATATTAAATTATATTATATTATACTATATGTATATTATATTATATAGTATTGTATTATTAAATTATATTGTATATAATATAATATAATTAATTGAATTATATAAGTATCAGTAATTACTGAATACTGAATAGTAAATACTACTAGAAGTTTATTTGTATGGAACCAAAGATCGACTGAACATGATATGCTTGTCCTTGTGAGATGTTTTGAAACAAGAGGCTAAGTCAACAGTAGTTGTGAACACTGGTTTGATATGGTGTGTCTTTTTCAGCGTCCGTCTCCTTGTCCTCAGATTCACAATCAATGGTGCCAACAATCTCTGTGCGCAACATGGACTTGACACTGTCGATGCCCATCTCGTCATGCATCAACATCTTGATGAATGGGCGGAAAGTGGATGTAGTTTTCACAAGCCATGCCCCCACTGAAGACTCAATGAAATCCTTCACCTCCTTGAAAGGTGCCACCCAAGATTTCACGGTTTTCTCCAAATTGCCCATGATCTTCGTGTCATTCAATGCCGCAAACAATGAGACAACGTTGGTATTCATCAAGACCGCTTCATTCACAGACTCGCTGTGGATCAGGCGCAACTGTGACAAAGCTTGGATCAAGAGGCCAGCAAGCTTACTCGCAGAGGAGATGGTTTCCTCAAAGTCAGCTGCCTCTTTGCCAAGGACCTTGGTAATGATCTGTTTGCTGGCTGGCTGATAGCTGGCAATGCCTTGCAAAGTTTGCAAACATAGAGCTGCTGCTTCGTCACCAATGCTGCCAGAAGCCAATGACTTCAATCCGGCATCCAACTGGGGAAACTTTGCCTCGAACTTCTTCTCGACAAACTGGAACAAGGCCACATCAAATTCTTGAAGTCGTTCTTGAACAGCGTGGCCACAAGCTCGCTTCGACTCCTTCAAAGTCGTTGAACCCGAATCTGCAAAAGACCTGAACTTGGCAACCATGTCAAAGAACTTTCCTGGAGTCGGGAGAGAAAGCTCCAGGTCACCATCCTTAGTCTTGGAGATGTCGAGGTAGGATTTGATTTTGAAGGACTGGGCAAACTCTGCCGCACTCTCAATCTCACCTTGAAGAATTTGATCTTTTCGACACTGGGTAATGACGCTGGATACTTTGGAGCACATGTAGACTCCGGCAGGGTACATCGTCAAACAAGCTGTGAAAGTGCCCTTCCCTTTGGTCAAAGCCTGCTTGGCTGCTTCGAGTGCATCAGTATCACTCGGTGAAGGCATGTCAATCTCAGTGGAAAGAGCCCCAGAGCAAAGGGCCAGCAAACGAGCAATGTCATCCCGGAGTGCCGATTTTTCGGGCGCCACAAACTCATAGATCCTGGATTTCTGAAAGGCCTTCAACAACTTGCTCAAGGTCTGCACGCACTCAGCCATCTTGTGGTCAGAGTTCCCGTTCTGCTCCGTCTTGTCCCCGTTCGTAGGCCTCGGGCAAGTTGAAAACCAAAACCAAAGTGAAAACAGGCAAACAGATATCAGGCTAAGTATCAGTATCAATACAGTAAGTTAAAAGTTATAAGTTATAAGTTATAAGTTAAGTTATAAGTTATAAGAGTTATAAGTTATAATAGAAGTAATAAGTGTATACTACACAATAAGCAACTTAAGTCATATAATTTATAATAATAAACAACTATTTATTATTAATTACCATAATCATAATCATGATTAATAAAAAGAATATAATTTAATATATAAATAAGAAGAAGAGTAGCAGTGCAGTAAATGTAAACATGAATTAAACAAGGAATGTATAAGAAAGCATGAATTAATCTAAATTAGATATTAAATCATCATAATTCATAATATAATATAAATATAATTTTAATAATTTATGATTTATAATTAAATTATATATAATAGATAAGTAATAAATAATGTGTTAATAAAATAATATGTTTATGATTGATAAATAATGAATTAACATAATATAAAATAATAAAATGATAATATAAATAATTGAAATTATAAACTTTAATTGCAATTTATTGATAATAATTAACAATTATTAATAACTTATAATAACTTATAAATAACTTATAACTTATAACTTATAACTAATTAAACTATAAGTTAACATTATAAAATTAAAAGCTTATAAACAACTTAAAAATAATAAATATAAATTAATTTAACAATAAAATATGATATAATTAGGAAAATACAAATAATATAAGTGTAATTTAAATATTAATCATATAACATAAATAATAATTAAAATTAAAATTATAATTAATAATAATAATGATAATAGTAACATCAATAAAATAATATCATACTGCATACCATACACTGTGAACAAGTTGTGCATAACTTACTTAACAACAAACAATCAACAGGGGCTATGGGATACTGGATGCTAGTTTCAAACAGAACAACAGCCATGAAGCTTAGCCAAGAAGCTCGACCTCTTTCAGCAGGGTCTTGTTGATCAGCTCAGTCAAACAGAAAATTTGGAAGTCCTTGGTCACCTTGTCCATGTGAGCAGCATCCATCAAGTCATTGTCAGGAAGAATAGAGCAAATCCCATGAGCATGGTCGTCCTTGGCGTTTGGGTCCAGGAACTCGAACACTTTGTCCATTTCACCACTGAACATCAATTCTTCCGCAGCACGTCTGCAGATGACAGAGTTGATGTTCCTTGGAAGCTTCACCCCTAAGGACTTGATGTTCTGAGCGCGATCTCTGATCGTTTCTGGTGATGCTTCCGCATCTTGAACTGCTTCAACAAACTGCGATATGCCTGCCACAAGCGTCTTTGATTCAGTCAATTGTTGCCAGACACCTTCGGCACGGCATCCAGCTCCTTCTTGCCTGATGATCTCAATGAAACACTTTGTGGCATCGTCGGTCAGTCTATTGCTGAGCTTGTCCAAAATGTCATTGACCTTCTTCAATGTCACCTGCATCACGTTGCGGTTGTCTTCCATTTGTGTTTTAATCTGCCGTGCTTGTAACACAATGGCTTCACACTTGTCCAGCTCCTTGTGCTCCTGTGCAACCTTCTTGGATTTTCCCGGAGCTGATGATCTGGCCAAAGGAATGGACCAACCACCAGCAATTGAGCCTGCACTGGAAGATGCCCCACCACCACCACCAGAAGATCCATCTTGGCAATCTGCAGTGGAGCCATCAAAGGCTGGCACGGAGGGTTTGGCCTGACGATTTCGTGCTGATGCTGATGATCCTTTGCGCTTCTTGCAAGCTGATTCACCACCTTCGTCCTCAGATCCTCCTTTGGTGGTGGAGCTGAATTTCTGATCACCCCACATCATGCTGTACCATTCGTCTTCCTCACCTCCTGCTTTGGGACCTTTCCTTAGTGAAATGATGTGGCCCTGAGACACAAACCATGTATGAAATAAAAAGATATGATATGAAATGATATGATTTGATTCATATGATGATATAATTATGTGGAAGGAATCATATTATATTAGATTAAAATATTATACTATATTATATTTTATGTTATGTTATATTATATTATATTATATTATGACATATCATTATATTATATTATATTATACTATATTATATTATATTATATTATTTTATATTATATTATATTATATATTATATTATTATATAATTATATATATATTTATATTATATAATATATAATATAGTAATATAATATATATATATAATATAATATATAGTAATATTGGAGGAAATGTTTTCTAGACATGCTATTCTGAAGGCTTTGAAACTGTGTGCAATGATGTGTGCACTGCTGGAGCGGAGGAAACAACATAGAAAATGATTTTCAGGATAAGGCTGTCGGGATTCAGTGAAATCTCTCCATCAGCACTCTGCGCAGTGCTGACACGAACCTTCTTCTGGGCAAGGTCATAGGCCCTGCGAGCATCGTTGTCATCATCCTCCCCCAATCCCGCACTGCGTGATGTGCTTCGCATTCTTCGCTGACGTAGAAGAAACTTCAATTGCTCCTCAGCATGGTCTCCATTAGAATTAGATGGTGAGGCACTACTTGCACAACGGTCACAAACCCATATGATTCATTATGATAAATCAAAATTATGATGTTTCACAACCCAAACAAAACGAAATCCAAGGATTCAAATCCTATCCTAACTGGTTCACTTTTGAGTTTGACACCGAGAAAGCATCATGTCAAATAAAAACCAAACTTCTTGAAAGGCAGCTTAGCATAGGACAACAAGGTATCGTGCCAAACAGTGGGGAAATTCGAAAAGAACTTGGCAAAACCAAAGCACCCAGAACCCAATCTTCACAAATAGCACCCTTCACAGTCTTTCCCTGGTGAACGATGCTCTGTAGTTTTTTGGGCACTGCTCGATCATGTTTTCTGAGAAGGCTAACAGGCCACATGTACCCAAGAACCTCTTTGGTAAAGAAAGAGGTGGAATCTTCCACCACGGCCGTCTCTGTCTCATCGCCTGTCAGGCAGCTCGGGGAAAACAACAAGGGTTGTTTGTTCTTGATATAGTCGGATAATGTTGGGAATGATGTGATTCGATGATATGAAACAAATGATATGAAAAATCTGTATGTAACTATGAAATTTGGAAATTATATTAATATTATATATTATATTATATATTTATATTTATGTATCTGTATACTCGTCTATACTGTAATATGTATTAGGGGTTCCCTGTTTGGGCCCCAACCACAACCCACCTCGGCGTCGTTTGCCATCCCGGCGTGCTTCACACCAGCGATTCAACTCGGAGTCAAAGCTGCTCTGTTCAGCAGGATCTTTCAAAGCATCTGCCAAAGCGGTCCGCGTCAATTGACTGAACCTGGAATCGCCACTTCTCAGGAATCCAAAACAAACTTTGCATTCCTTTGACCCTGGGGCTCTGCGTGCCAAAAGGTCACTAGCACCAGGATTCTTGATCGTAGGGTTTCGATCAACTCCGAATTGCTTGTGGCAAAACTTGCAACTCTCTGCTGGCTTCGACATCGCTGCCGGCATGACAGGCAACGTGCAACTAGAGAAACCACTGCAAGGGACGCCAGGAAACGGGATTGATACTGCGAAAACTCGCTGAAACAGAAAAAAGCTGGGCAATGGCAAGCACATTGCCATTTCAAATTGAAACCAGATTCAACTCAAATGAGACCACATCTCTCCATTGCTTGAATGCGGCAAATATCCTAGTTGAACAAAGACCAAACGGAAAGCTCTTGATCAACGCTGACTCCTGGAATGCGAATCCCAGTTTGGAATGGTTCTCAGCTATGGTTACTAGAGGTTGCTCAGTCAATACAATTCAATTAGAGTTTGAAGTCTGGAAATCGAGTGACTAACTGGTGCACTTGAGGCATAAGAAAATGTTTTCAAGCTCTTGTCTCTGACTTTCTGTCTCTGCACATCGACCGATTCAAATCTGTGGTCGAAGGTGCACATGATACGACATCGAATCATATCATAACAAGACCATATCTCATATCTCTTATCAGTATCGACGCACGTTGCGATTAGGGCCCTGATGGAAGCAAACACATGGGAAACACAAATGAAACTGTGAAACAACTGGAATATGTTTTGCATGGTTCAATTCTCTGAATACAAGTTACAGTTACAGCAAAGTAGAATCCAATGGAGCTCAACTGTGCTCAACTACAAGTACAAGTAGTCACTTCATCATTTGATTAAGAATCATAAATTGCAACTTGCAACCATTCTGGGCCATTCGGATTGCAAAAAGCTGAATGCCTGCCGATTAATTATGTCTCAGCAACAAGCCACGGCCAAACTGGAAAAAGCTCAGAGAAACAAGACCACTTACATGAGCAGGCATTGTGGGCAAAACGGTAGCAAGATTATCCTGCCACCCCTGCGGCCCTCGGCAATCGGCAACGGTGTCAAGTTTTGTCTTGACATTCGATCTCAGGCTCACTCATTTCCCTCGCTCTCAGAAGAAGAACCGTGACCCACCTTCTCCCAATCGCCAATGGAAAGCTTCACCTGGCTCCTGGTGATGCCGGTCTTGATCTCCCATCCTTGCTGCATGAGGCTGTCAATCACAAACCTCAGGAGAATGGCAATGGTCGTTAAAGCATCATAAAACATTATTTGAACCAACTAATATCTCAGATATCTTCGATGTCTCCAAACCAAATCAAACAGTTCAAACTTGTTTGCAATCTAATAATGATATAAAATATAAATATTTATATAATATAATCTAATTACATCGATCGAAGTTTGAAGTTTGCAGTATGCTAGAAGGGAACAGGGACATGACATGGCTGCAGCTAGGGGACGTCCGGTAGCTGCACGGCGGCCCAGTATTGAAACTCTTGTTGTACCCGCACACATCCATCCAGTCATGGTCAATCTTGGCCCGCACGTGCCACCAAAGATCCCTCTTGCTCTTGCGCATCACCACCTTGCATGCCGGCTTCTTGAACGCTTTCATGGGGGTAGATGAGGTAGAAGACTTGCTAGATCCCTTCTTCTGCTTCTTCTTCAACTTCCCAAACAAATTCAAGACCTTCATGTCTTTCATAACTTTCATGACTGTCGGTGACGGCGATGATCCCTGGCTCTTGGGGCTAGATGCCTTTGGTGACTTCGATGCCGTTGGTGATCCAACCCTCGAAGCTGACTTCATGGGTGTCTTCTCTGGGGAAAAGAACTGAGCATTGGCCCTGCGCAAGCGCTGCGGTGTCCTGGGTGTAGGAGAAGCAGCCTGGCCACGTGCCTTACGGCGTGTCGGTGAAAAAGCCAAGGTGGCTTCACTAGACGCTGGCGACATTGACATTGACGCACGGGCTGGCATCACTGAAATGCTCAATGATGCTTCTCAAACAAGCCTGAATGTTATACCGGGGGGCCTGAGCAAAAAATCGCTACAAGTAAAATAAACATGTGTATTTGCTGTTCTTGGGAAATGAATGAACCCAAACATTCATAGATCAAATCAAGAACACTTGCAAACCAAACCCTTTGCAAAGTTCGAAGTCCAAATGCGTTCACCTGGAACCCCCCAAAGCGCAAAAAATTGGACATTGGCTAATGTCCAAATGTGTCAATGTTTGGTCAAAATTTGGACATTCGTTAATGGCCAAATGTCAAATGTTTGGTCCAAATTTGGATATTAGTTAATGTCCAAATTTGGCAATGTGGTGTCCAAATTTGTACATTAGCCAATGTCCAAATTTGGACATTAGAGGCCAAATTTGGACATTAGCTAATGTCCAAATTTGGGGTTTGAGTTAATGTTCAAATTTGTTTTTTTTGCAACAAAATAGGTGATTTGGACGTTAATTTGCATTTGGAATTTGGACATTAGCTAATGTCCAAGTTTGGTGCCTAATGTCCAAATTTGGACATTAACTAATGTCCAAGTTTGGACCCCAAATTGCCAAATTTGAACATTAACTAATGTTCAAATTTGGACCAAAAATTAGACATTTGGACATTAACTAATGTCTAAATTTGGACCCCAAAGTGCCAAATTTGGACATTAACTAATGTCCAAATTTTGACCAAATGTTGGGTGTTTGAAACTGTGACTTGGAATCTTTGGAACCAATCAAAACCTTTCACGAAACAAACATAGGCTAACATGAGTTGTAAAATGTTGTAAACTCTCTTGTTCTTTGACAAAGTTGGCTTTCTTGGAACCACGTTGAATGTAGAATGTACCCCCAACCAAACTGAGGCAAGGGAAACCTAGAACGCAAACGGACTGCTTTCCACTTGTTGTCCCTGCATCGATCAAGTTGTCCAGATGTCACCATTGTCGTCATGATGACAACGTTGTAAGACATCACGTCATCCCCTAACCTTCATGCCTACTGATTTTTTTAATTCTTTTGCAGAAGACTGGTGCTGTTCTACCGTCTCCTGCTCTCCCCGAGAAAGCCATTGCAACATCAAATCTGAGTGTTTGGAATTGGACACCCAGCAAATACATTTCGAATGAACCCTGCAACGGGCTTGCAAAGTTTCAAAACCATTGCCATCGACCATGGCCTTTAACTGACCCAACGGTCTGCATGAGCCAGAACATGATTTGGAGACTACCTCTGCAACAATTGAACCACCACTAAAAATCTTCGCTTCAACCCTGGAGCCGTCTGCTCCCTGAGCAAGAACCTGTACATTGCAACCTCTCTCTGCAGACTTGGAAGGTGTGTCCTTCCCAGCAGGTGGACCAACTGGAGCAACCTGAGTGCCACTGATGGGACTAAACAACACATTAATTGTAAGGTGTGTAAACCGATAAAGTGAAATTATATTTAAATAATACAATATATATATATATATATGATATATGTATGACTATATAAATACAATCATGTATGAATAATATAATATATTAAATTAAATTATATTATATTATATTTTATTGTATTATATTATATTATTATATTATATTATATTATATATAGATTATTATATTGTAGAGTCATATCGTATATTTTGCTTATATTATACAATATAGAATATATATAATATATGAAATATGTGTGTGGTATGATACCATCGGGTGGTATGATTTGTTATGATCATGATATGATTAGATATGATTTGATATGGTAAGATATGAAATAATTCAAACTAATATGATACACACAATTTTTGATATTATATGAATTATATGTTATAGTCATAGTTTAGGTAATACGGTATATGAATATGTTATAAACATGTTTTTAAGATATGGCAAATAATCAATGAGATCAATATCAATGAAATCTGGTGTATGAACTATGATTTATTTTTGAAGTTATATGATAATAATATGCTATGTATGATGATATGATATGATTCGATTTGTGATATTTGATTTGATCTGATATAGAATTATACAAAACAATACATGTTACATATTAATCATATTAATATAATTTATAATATATGATATGATAATTGATATGTGGCTTGTGTTTGAGATATGATGATTATATAATTAATTTGATGTGATTTTAAACATTGAATAATTCATACTATGAATCATATTCTTTTCTGTTGGTGACACATGGTGACACCAACATTTGAAGGTAGACAGGTATGCAATGAATGTACAAATGTCTGTATGCATGCATGAGTGTAACTATGTATGTAACTAATGTACGTAGGTAGGTAGGTAGGTAGGTAGGTAGGTATATAAGATGTATGTATGTATCTGTATAACTGTATAAGTTATACGTACGTATATATGCATGTATGTATGTGTGTGCTGTATGTATGGGCTGTATGTACTGTATTTACTGTTTTTACTTTATTTACTATGTGTGTATGTGTGTATGTCATGTTTGTATGTATGTATGTCTGTATGTGTATGTGACTGTATGTGTATGTGTATGTAACTGTATGTATGTACGTAACTATGTATGTATGAAATTGTTGTATGTATGTATGTATGTGTGTATGTATGTATGTATGTATGTATGTATGTATGTATGTAACTGTATGTATGTATGTATGTATGTATGTGATGTATGTATGTAAGTATCTATGTCTGTGTGTATGTATGTACGTATGTATGTGTATGTATGTATGTATGTATGTATGTATGTATGTATGTAACATATGTTTGTAAGTATGTATGTATGCAACTATGCACAGTATGTATATGTCTGTATGTATGTATGTATGTATGTATGTATGTATGTATGTATGTATGTATGATTATGTATGTATATATATTTATATGTATGTTGTATGTATGTATGTATGTATGCATGCAGGTATGTATGCATGCATGTATGTATGTATATGTAAATGTATGTATATGTTATGTATGACTATGTGTATGCATATGTATATGATGTATATGCAATATGTGTATATGATATGTATATGTGTATCTGATACGTATATGTGTATATGATATATGATATGTACTGTATATCTGTTTATATGCAAAGAATATATTATATAATATATTATATAATTATATTATATTATTTTATAATATATAAATCTGTATATGAAAATATAAAATAAATATAGTATAATATAATATATTATTTCTATATATGATATTATGTAAATAAATAATATGTATGTAAGTATGTATGCATGTAATCTATGTATGTGTGTATGTATGTCAATGTCTGTCTGTCTGTCTGTATGTATGTATGTATGTATTTATATGTATGTATGTATGTATGTATGTATGTGTGTATGTAACGTATGTACGTATGTATGTATGTATGTATGTGTGTATGTAACGTATGTATGTATGTATGTATGTATGTATGTACGTATGTATGTATGTATGTATGTATGAATGTGTGTAATGCATGTAAGTTTGTATGTATGTACTGTATGTTCAATTGAATAAGTAATCAAACCATCAACTAGAATCATCATGGTCCTCATGGTTAATAATCGAACTCATATCACATGATTTCAAATCATAATGAATCATAACCAAAAGAAATCGTTCAGTGGGAAAGCAACGGGCCCAAGAAAGATACCATCTAAGGGACTGCAGCAACGTTGGGAACCTCCCGTGATGAAGCAGAAGAAGATGATGATTGGGAAACTGCATTCCTTCCACCTGTACGTGTGCCAGTCATCACAGTATCACCAGCCTTGTCATGTGTGAAAGAAATGCCATCTGAGCCATCTGTATTCAAAGAATTGTCTCCGTCCAAAGATGCTTCCTCTACCTGTTCATCACCAGATTCACTACTTGCATCTTCGGGTACAGCATTGGGCCTCCATTCAGATAAATCATTTGCAGTGGAAGCGGTTGCACAAAGGCCCTGCACATGTTTCAACCCTTCAATCTCTTCCCTTGACAAAAATGTAGTGACAGAAAGGTCATCCAGCAAAAAATCACCAAGAGCTTCCTCAATGCTAACGTCAGGCTCATTTGTGCCCTCGGTTTTCTTTTTCAGTTTGGACCGTGTGGTCTTTCTCTGTTTCGGTGGACGTGGTTCCGCCGAAGCCTCCAACAAAGCCAGAAAATCAACTCCACCTGAACTATCCTGAAGGTGTGAAGAAACGCCATGTTCTGAATGTTGTGGACTGTGGTCTTCAGGCCCATCAGTGTCCACAACAGCCTCATCAGCAGTTGCAAATAAGCAAGGGTTTTGCACATCTACACCAATGACCCGTATCATTCCCGGCAGGATGTCTTCGAACTGGAGAAAGGAGACTGCCACTTTCACAGCCACCAAATCTGGATGAAACAGTTTAGGCAAATCCAGCAAACGGGCGACAAAACAATCCGATGTGTACATTCTCATCTGTCCCACAGTCAAAGGTTGCCTTTGAAAAAACTCCTTCTCTGTTGGTTGAACATATGGCCTTGTAGATAATACCAGAATCAAACCGCAAATCCCAGAGATGTCAGTTTTACTTTCATCATGCTTGTCCAAACAGACAAAGACCTGCTCTGGCTTATGAGTTCCAGATTGGGAAGAAACAGCCGTTACAAAGCAGAACTCCCTGTAAGAGATACCACCAGAATCGGTAACCTCAAATACGCACAAGGTGTCGTTTTCCACCGTCAGCTTAACTCCGCCGCTCCTAGTAGCCCGATATGTGGGAAACAAACAGCTACTACTGCCCTTATTTATTTCATATTTCTTGCTTTAGACTTTAAACCGTCATGTCAGAAGTCGACTCATACCGACCAAAAGTGGCGTTTTAAACAAAAACATTGTTATGTTCATTTGTTTGTTGTAAACAAATACAGTAATTTAGTAATGCGTCAAATGAGTCAAATCGAATCATATCATTGTCATACCATACATATCAATCACAGCCAATCATCATATATTATATAATTACAATATATATTATATTATATATATAATATATATATATATATATCATAGAATCATATCATATCATATCACTGTCATATCATTGTTAATTTAATACGGTATGAGTCGATGATATGATGATTTGATATGTTTGAGGTCTCAAAAACTCTAAAGTTTCACATAGATTTTATTCTGTTGGTTTGCTTCCAAAAAAAATAGCCCACCAAACATGTGGCAAAACCCTGTGAAAAATGATGTTAGTAATAGTAGTAGTCGTCTTAGGGATGATAGACATGTGTTTTTTTTTAGGAGGTGACAAACCAACGGGAAAATGATAATGATTCAATGGCTGGTTGAGACATAACTTGACATAACTTGACATAACATCACAAACTGAAACCAATTACTTGACCACCGGGACATAACTCAAATAAACTTAGCATAACCGGCATATAATAAAGCCCATCACGTGATCCCTCTTTGCCCCAAATATGACGATAACTAGACTATATATAATTATATATTATAAATTATATTGACTGAGAAGGAAATTGGATTGAACAACAGCGCATTGCATTCTCAAGGAATTCCTCATACAACCAAAAATACAAAAGGAGCTGTTCAACAATATCTAGGTTTCTTCACCACAATAGCCCGACAAAGTTCCAGTGTGTGGCAGTGCAAATCAATTCGGGTGCGATCATCGTGGTGTCTGCATTGTTCGCCGCAGTAAGATTCATGCACAACCCTTTCTGGGAAAACATCATCATCAGATGGTGGGCGTGCAATGCACTCCGCATCAGCCACAAAACTCTTGTAAAAACCTTTTCCAGTAATGCCCTTTTCCAATTGAGCTCTCCATACCCTTTCCAAAACTGAATCAGAAAGCGGGTGTTTTGATGTCCCAAGAACAGAATCGTCTCCGCGAAGTTCTTTGTCCACAGCCTGCTGCAATTCAGAGATGCCATTGGCTGGCAGGATGTCAACAAGTTCATGCAAAGGAAGCACCTGTGCATGCAAAGGCATTCGAGAATCCTCGTGTGCAACCACCTCTGAAGAAGGAACCGGTTCAGCATCCCCCAGATCATCAGGTCGAGACTCTTGTGCTGAGTTGGATGCACATGTTTTTCTGCTTTTGCACCTTGAACTTGCTGCCTGGGACTTTGATTCATCTGACAAAGACTGAAACAACCTCTGCTGTTCTGGCGCCAAGTTTGAATACGCAGTTTTAACCTCTTCCCAGAAAGTCTTGCTGCAAGGGTTCACAGTTTCCCCAGTTGCTTTCTTGGTGTCAATCATGTGTTTCCGGAAAAGTTCCAAGGGTGACATACCCTTTGCCTTTGCTGGCGCAGACGCAGTATCTTTCACAAGAATGCCTCCACGCTTGACGTAGGAACTGCTCCGTTTCTGAGAACACCCTTGGTCTTCACCAGATTTCTGAAGATTGACTGCATCTTCTGCCACCCTCTTTGCTTCACAGTTTATAAATTTAGCGGCTATGCTGGAAAAAGCATTCCCTCACAATGACCTGTTCTGACTGTGCATAGATTCAATGTCAGCAATTGAACATTGAATTGTAGCAGCTAGCCAGTAGAGAACACTCCTCGCGTTGCCGTGGCAGAGTTCTTCTGATGTGAGCCCCATTTGTTTCCAGTCCCTACAAAGACCTGGTGGAACACAACAGGAATGTTTGCAGTCCCAAAAATCACAGAAGGATTGCAACGTCTCCGGATGAGCAGCATCATCCCCGCACATTGTGATTGCAAAAGAATCCCCATTCAGATACATATAGTGTCTGCGATAGATCCAACCGGCAGCCAGCATCAAAATTCGTCTGATCTTTCTGCACTTTCCAATCTCACGGCTGCAAAACTCTTGGTACGAATCGAACCCGAAATGTCCCCACAGAAGAATCAAGCGACCCTCGCCTGTCTTACTCAACAACAGCGAGCTCAGAAATTGAAGGGCTTGGCAAACGATGCTTGTCCTAGGATCAAGCAGCAAATGCAATGGCGGCCGCTGCTTGTATTTCAAGGTCTTGGAGAGACATGCCAACCAATACCATGTCAAGATTCGGTTGGGTTCTAAAGAAAGAGACAAAAGTACCACGGCCCATTGATCTTCGGGATCTTCGAGGAAGCTCACAGAAGATTGAAATCGTCGCCCATTCACCAGGTGAAAACAAAGTGTCTCGATCAATTTCGGATCTGCATTCTCATCCAAAGGGTTGTATTCCTGAAATTTGACGTGTTGAAATGCGCCTTTGAACACTTGACACAACCACTTGTGCACCATATAGCCCGCAAGACAGAAGTCCTGATATGGTTCTCACCCCTGACCCTATCCCAAAAGTCACCCAAACCCACATACACACATATCACATATCATCACATTAGCATATAATTATATTATATATATATATTAAATTATGTAATATAGTAATATATGTTTATTATTTTATTATATATCATGTCATAGAATCATATACTGTCATATAACTCTGATACGCTGATACCGATACCATTTTATTTTATTAGTAATTGATCAATCATAATTTTAATGTGATATGATTATATGATTTAATATGACTCGTATGGTATGACTCTGCCCATGACTATGATGACTTTGGAGATCATACAAAGCAGATACAAATACAGATACAGATACATACAAAAATGTACAAAAACAACTACAGGTTCTGACTAATTACACACAATTACAGTGCCGCGTAAGATCAACATGGAAACTCGAAAAAACAAAAATGACACAGCTACTGTAGACAGAACCCCCCTATGTATCATCATTATTCATTACTACGCTACATGTCAAATCAACAGTTAGCAGTACAGTTTTGATTCATACCTGGCTGAAAAGGTAGGCCGCTATTCGCACGTATCCGAAACAGAGTCAGTGAAAATTCATCATCCTACAGACTTCTGACCTATGTATGTAGGCATGGGCAATGTATAGTGTATAGTCTAGTAGTCAGTCCTTCAAACTATTCCCAAATAATCACCCATAGATTGAGTAATTATTAAGTAGAATCCCGGATTTTTGGGGGGCCAAACAAAAACAAAGAAAACATACTCGCACTTCTACGTGGAAGGGTCGAGTGGGCTATAGTGGGTAGCCCACTTGTTCGGCGCCGGCACAGAGGGCATGGTGTTGAGAAAGAGATCCATCAGAGTGTCCACACACTTTCTAACAGCTTCACTGCGGTTTGCGCAGTGCCGCTGACAGGCAGGTAGAGATTCATGTGAACAAATGTGGCCCGGCTTGGGATTTGCTGGATCTGAATTCCACATTTCAAGGAAAGCCTTAGCTTTCTTCTCAAATGTGCCTGAATCAGGGCCTTCCAAATCAGATTCGCATTTTCGATTCCACTTCAAAAACTCAATCATCTCAACAAGAGCTGCGTGACTTCTGGATTGCCCAGTGGCATTGTCAGCAAGTAATTCAGGTCTGAACTCCAAGTTGGCATCGACCCAAGCAAAGACAGTTTGTTTGATACGGATCCAATGACCCAAGTTCCTGAGAAACACTGTCATCCCGTATAGGCGATTCAATATATTGTGTCCGACCGCTGCAAAAAGAGCTACGTTGCAGAGCTGTGTTTGGTGATTTTGGCACCGCACATGCGTCAAGTGGTATCTGAATTGCGCCAACTTGTTTCGTTGGACAAGATGAGCATATAGCCTGTCGTTGGAATATGCTCCATCAGATTCAAACACTTGAAGTCTGTGAAAACATGATGCTGCCAAATGCCCCAGCAATTCAGTAATGCTTCGGTAACTCGGATGATACTGCATCGCATAAAAAATGTGTTGTGCTGCGCTTCCCAATAGTACAACTGGTGGCAAGACAATTCTGACAATCAAACATGACCCGTTAGGCCAAACCAGTATGATTCGTTGGCGCGCAACCATAGTCTCCCATGTTGATCGAACTCTGGCGTTGCTTCTGTCAGGGTTCACACTGCAAAGAAGTGATGTTTCGTCCCACTTGATCTGCTGAATGAGTGCTAGTGGAGGCTCATGTCTTGCAAGAAGAATCAGTTTTGCCAACAATGTCAACTGCTGACCTTGATACGCAGCTCCAACCATAGCGTTCATAAAGGAAACTGTTGACTTGGATACCTCCATGGACAAAGCTATGTGAGTTGTTCTCTTGAGCTTGCCGTAAGCGGCTTGAAAAAAGTCAACCCATGGAATGGCTCGCTTGAACCGGTTGCCTTTGGCAGAACGAGAACAAAGTTTGATCACCATTCCTGATGATGTCGCCTTCGCAGTGACGGCTACAAGACACCCATTTTTTTTGATAGTAGAATCTCCCAGCATGTCTGCAAGATTTTGTTTGAAAGCATCGTGTTTCAACAAGGCCTTACAGTGCCTCATATGCAAAGCCAGAAGAGACTTCTCTCCTTGGCCTCCATGCCTGCCACTGCCAACTTTTCCAGACATTTTTGGCAGCTTGCATCTAGCCTGAACTGTCGCAACTTCATTCTGTGCAGGCTGCGGCTGAAATTCTAACTGAACTGGCTCTGGCTGAAATGCAAATAATTGATTGAATTGATCATCTTCAGATTGGACTGCCACTGATGCGTGATCCCCGGCATCACAGTGCAGTTTGGTAGACTCCTCCAGGACAGCTAGCAAGTCAAAATCCATGCCGCATTCATCGATATCCATGGAGCGGGCCGTGTTCACTCACCAATGATGGTGCTGGAAAACAAAGCCAAATTTGCAAACGGAACATGGAAGTCTTGCTAAAAAACCTTTAGGTGATTGAACAGTCTGTTGATTTATTGGGCCGTCCTGCCCCCCTGAGTTGTTGGATACAAATGGTGGCGCTAAATGTTCACTCACAAATCTTGGAATTCTTATGAACAAATAATCACCATGTGCACTCGGGTGCAACACCGCATTCATACCTAAAATGGAAGCTGCCCCAACACTTGATGTGTGCCATGGTCAAAAGTTGGATAAATAATCATCCCTTGTTATTGAATTGCATTTGATATATGATATAAACTATTATAATACAGATTGGTGGATGGCCAAATCATCACGCTGTACCCGTTATAGTTATAAGTTATAAGTTATAAGTTATAATTCTCATACTCATAGTTGTTGCCAATAGCATTCAAGAAAAAACAACTTCCAACCAAAGTCCGGTAACCATCCCCATATCATCACAAATTAGATTGTGCTGTTTGACCATGGCACATATGATTCCTTCTGTCGCATATGGTGTTATTATTTTTGTTTGATTCGAGCAAATATGGTGGGATCTAACTTGATCTAATGTTTGAATGATATCCAAACAAACACCAAATCATCCCTGACATCATCCAATTTTCACTGCGGGTTGGTTAAGATGCCTCCACAACAATGCCTACATTTACCACTGAAAACGCCAAATTTTGGCCAGAATGAATGTCCAAATCTACCCTTGAAAATGTCCAAATTTAGCCCAATTTTGGCCAAAATGAATGTCCAAATCTACCCTTGAATACGTCCAAATTTAACCAAATTTTGGCCAAAATTAATGTCCAAATTTGTAGTTGAAAGCGTCCAAATTTGGCACAATTAATGTCCAAATCTACCAAAAATAATGTCCAAATACTGCCAAATTTGGACCCTTTAGATATCCTTCAGGGTAGCCCATATCCCCAGGATAAAGGCGCTAAAGAGAGGGGTCAAAAACGTGATAGATCTACCTCCTAAAGTATATTGGATGTATATGCATTGATTGGTTCCGTGAAAGAAACACACCCGGGCAAATCCTCCATTTTTGGCAAAGGGCAGCAGGTGATGATGCAATGGCGTGAGACCGTCTAAGTCCTGTCGGTGGAAGGATTCGGGGTATTTCCGGATTTCTGGCAGCTATAGCATGCCATCCTGCGGATTAGCAATAAGGCGACAAGAGTGCTGATGGCAGCTAACCAATTGGAAAATGAAAAATCATCATTTTGCAAAAAGTATCTAAAAATAGCGTTTCAAATGGCAACCCTAAACCCTCCAAACCCTCCAAACCCTCCAAACCCTAAACCCTAAGCCACAAATCATTAGCAATTTTTGAATGGAAAAACTATCCCATATATGAAATGGAACATAAAACATGTTGGAAACCCCCAACCAGTATAAAAAAATGGGAAGTTCATGAACACTGGATTGGTCTTCATTCTGTCACTTCAACCTATCGGGATCAACATTATGGGGTCGAAATCGGGTTACCGCACCGTGGAGCTGCTGACCCACCACATGAGTCACTACACAATAAGCATCTGCTCAGAAACTCTAAATTTGTTGGCATCCCAATATTCAGTCTTAATTCACCCTTTGCTCATTCACCATTTGCGGAACGTATTTTCATGTAACTATATTTTCAATATCCACAAGTTTTGAGAATTTCGAATTCCCTGGTGTATGTTCACCGTTTCAATATGTTCAAAATATGTTCACCTTATGTTCAATATGTTACCAAGTGTTACTACACCTCCCTGGTGTATTGTGCTACCGGAGATGTTCACACTTTGGTTCAATAATGTCCTTTTGGTAAAAATTGGTTTGGGCCGGTTTGATATACCATCTATCATCATGTGAACATTTACCTGTTGTTAAAGGGCGAAACAAACCCTCGGCTGGTTGGTGGTATGCCTACCCCTCTGAAAAATATGAAAGTCAGTTGGGTTTATTTTTCCCAATATATGGAAACTAAAATTCATGTTCCAAACCACCAACCAAATATCTACTGGGGATGCATGTTGAAATATAGGCTAACGATAATTAACCAGCCACAATACGGATCTAACCAAAAACACATGGGGATTAAACAACGAATCACACAATGATCAAAGTTTGGTTGCCTGGATTTTTACTACAACAATAGGAATAATACCATAATGATGATAATAGTAAGAATACCATACTTCAGCCATTAATAATGGTAATAATTACCATAGTACTGTGTAATTGACCATCAACAGATTACCATATGGTGACTTACCATTACTACGGTATAACGCTATAACACTATGGTCAGTGGTATAACACCACAGTAATGGTAATTCTTAGTGGTAATCTAGTAATATATTACTATGGTATAACACTGAAATTGCTATGGTAATGTAGTAATAATACAATAATTCTAATATACTAATACATCATGATATATTGTTGGTTCATCAGTAGTAATTACCATGGTACTGTTTGGTTGCTTCATCTCCTCCGCTGTTGGGTCCGC